GTTACAGCCCCTTTAATTTAAAGTGCTGGTCTGCTCCCCTGCCACTTCCTCCACCCCGGTGCTGCAACCCCCCAGGAAGACAGCCGACCCATGGGTTGCGCACCGCTGTGTTAAGTTAACAGTAATTCTACCTGCACATAATATTGTATCAGGGAAGCCTCCACTTTGGTTGTCAGGGAAATAAGTCACAAAAACAAAACTACTTTCCAACTGTCAAAACACAGGTTTTCCCCTAACAGGAACCACTTGAAGAGGTTTAGATAAGTCTAGTAGAACTAAATAATCCTAAATAAGCACACTTTAGCTTAGGTGAAACGTCCTCTAAACTAAAAAATGTACCCCCACAGAACCTAAAATGCCCAAATCTAAGGACTTTGAGATTGCATTAAGGACTATCATATATAAAATACTTTTATATCAAGTAGCGGTGGACAAAAAATATAGTAACACTTCACTGCAGAATATGAAAAAGTAATCGGTTTCACATCTCCCAACATTTAGAACTTGTCCAATTAACTTCAAATGTTCCATACAGACAAAACTTCTCTGAGCAAAGGCTACACTTGGAAGTTTTCAGTCAAAAGGCAGCTTTAGTCAGAAACTTAAAAAGGAGATGAGGATTTCAAAATAGAACTTTGAATGTAAGCTGTTTTGCAATCTGAAAAAAGGATTCTGGAAGAAGAAAAGTAATTTCAAAAATATTGCTTCCTACATTCAACATACTACAATCACAGACAAATAGAAACACCAAAAAACAAAACTTATTAAATCTGAGCTGAATATGCTCACTACTTCTGCAGTTCACTTTTTTCATTTAATCTCATCTAAGGCAACAGTAAATTTCACTTTCAGGTTCTGCTGCAGCGGCACAATTTGGGATGTTTTGTTGTGAACACTGCAGGGAAATATTAATTGGCTTGAAAATTGTTTCAAGCTGAGATTTAAACAAACAAAAAGCCCATAATATCATAGAGACTTTGCTTCTCTATTTTAAAAATGTATATGGGTATATAGAGCCTAAAATTGGGGTCACAGCTGATCTAACATAGTCCCTCTATGCAGTCACTTCAGACGCTGGCTTCCTCTAGGTATTAGAGGCAGGGCCTGAGAGAAGAAAGGGGGATGAGCACCCCCATCTGACCCCTTCCTCCCAATACCACACCCCTCCTGCACATCACTCCTTTTCCCAAACCTCTTTTACCCAGTTCCATCCCATCCCTGCTTCTCCCCCTCCAGCTGTTCTGTAACAAGCAGGAGGTGCTGGATAGAGCGGAAAGAGTTGATCAGCAGAATCACTGGAAGATGGAAAACAATGGAGTGGGAGAGCTGACTGCTGATGGGTGCTAAGCTCCCACTATTGTTTTTCCCCATAGCTGCTGCAATCCTGGTACACCCATGGAGTTAGTCCCTATAGCAGTCACTATTTGATATGGGAAGCACTCACCACTGGAACAGAGCTACTTCCAGGATGAAATGTGGCAAATCTTTCTGCCCCAAAGATAAACAATTTGTTCTTAGAAAGCAAATGAATAAGAACTTCCCAAATGGAATTACAAAAGGAATTCCAGGTAGGCAAAAGTAACCACTAATGTTTAAACCGGGTGTGGGCAGCAAAATAAATGTCCATTCAGAAAGTGCTGCAGAATCTTTAACAAAATGATCATCCTCATCTGACAGACAGCACTTCCAGCATAGCACAAAGCTGAGGATGGTTCATTCCCAGCTCAGAAAGCTGCTATTTTCAAACACCACAGAAATGAATCTAGGTCTGGGTCTGAAAAAAAGACCTCACAATGACAAATTTATAGAGCTCAATCTGTTTAGTTTAACAAAAAGATAGACAGCCTAATCATGTCCCTTCTCCAAGTACCATCACAAGAAAAGATACCAAGTTCTACAGGGCTCCTTAATCCAGCGGAGAAAGACAAAGCAAGAACCAATAGCTGGAAGCTAAAGACAAATTCAAATTAGAAAAAAGGCACATATTTAAACACTGAGGATTATTAACTATTGTACAACCACAAAAGTAGCTAAAGCAAATCACATTTAGTATTTCAGAAATGTTCAGAGGTGTTTTTAAGCTATTTACTCAGCTCAAAGTTACTCAGAGCCCAAGTCGCCAAGCAAAGTGCATGACATGAATGAGAGGTGGGTGGTGAACTGAAGCACTCCACTAGTAACCCGTTCCTCCCCCACCCCTTTAGCCACCTCCTCTTCTGATCCCGTACTGCATCCATCCAATTACAGCTGAACCATACCAGCTCCACTATATAGGCAGCCCTGTGAAAGAGGTTGTTGAATGCAGCCCTTAGCAATTTTTATACCACCACCAGAGTGTGGAAGAAAACAGCATTAGCCTATTAACAGAGCTTCATAGGTAAAATGAAAGATGTTCAAATAAAAGTTACTTTTCTCTCATTATTTTTCTAGTTTATTTAACCTATCCTCTTAGACAGATGCCAATACTCTCAAGCTAGCTTCATCAGCAAACCCAAATGGAGCTTGGTGTTCATTCTGTATCTTATTCTTTTTATAGAGAAGTATAATAAAAATTGAACAAGGTATCTGTGGTATGATACGCAAATCTAAAAGCAAAATGCAAACTGCTATTCAACCCCAAATCAATTGACAATATCAGGTGACACGTCAATGCCTATTCTGCTACTAGTATCTGGTATGATCACGGTCAGAAATAAGATACTGAGCTAGATGGACCCTGGTCTGACATGGTGACCATTGTTATGTTCTTACTTCACACTTCTTTTTAAGTAAGAATTACTTCCTAAATGGGGATGTTTCAATAGGCCACCACTACAGCCACATATTTCTATGGCAACATTCAAAAAGAACTGTACACGCTGGAATCGTGCTATACTCTCCTAATATCGAAACACAGCTCATTCTGGAATGGAGAAGGGCAGATATTCTGGGCTTAAGGGAGGCTCCAAAGCAGAGTGAATGGCTGCTGCCCTAATGGATCACTATGGCAGCAGAGCTCATTAGCACTCCCAACACACTCTCTCACATGTTCCTATATTCCCCTTATATTGAAGGGTGGAGAAGTTGGTGGGGGAGGAAAATCCAACTATGCTGATTGTATGTCAAATACACAAGCAGGAAGGGAAATCCCCACTTGGGAAATCCACTGGCTTTGGGACCCTTTGCACCACCAGAAGCACAAAAGGATTAAATCACAGGAAAGACTCTTGTCCCTTATCACCAACAACATAGCAGTACCTATGATCACATTAGGACACTGGTTCAGTAACAACTCAAAGAAAATTGCCCCACTCACTGAACCAGCTGGATTTTCATAGAATGTCTCCCAGTAGCTGGAGAATGAACAAGATCACAACCCCCCCGCCCCCAAGCAAAAATACAGTAGACTTCCAATAATCTGGAACCTTTGGAACCTAGGTGGTGCCAGATTATCGGATATGACGGACTATAAGGAGGTACTATAAACTGGTTTTTTACACACACACACACACACACACACACACACACTATAGAGTATATACTGTATATAAAATGTTTTAACCCTTTTTATTGTACATACTGTATACAGTATACTGTAATGTTTTAGTTCTTTTTACCCTTTTTACTCAGTTCAGCTGCTGCCTTGGGACTCGTTTTTTTGCCAAAGCTCACTCACTAGGCTCTTGCCATTTTGATACCAGACTATCGGGAGTGCCGTACAATTGGATGCCGGACTATTGGAGTTTTACTGTATATACAAAAGTTTCCAAATTTAACTACTTTGTCCCCAGAGTCACCCAAACTACAATAAATATAGTGGCTTTACAATTAATGACTGAAAATAATAAATTAAGAATCATTATATAAAACCACTCACCTGTAAAGTAAATACAAAATAGCCACTAACACTTTGTTCAGCAATGACATCTTCCATGGTTCGCAAAGTGGTGCCTAAGTAGGAGTTTAGGAGCTGAGTAGGAAGCAGTCCAACTGAAGAAGCCATTAGATAGTTGGGCAATGATAGATCTGTAATCTAAATAAAATCTAGTGTGAAAAGCAATGTCCCATTTTGATACAATTTTCTCACAACCTGACTGTCTCCCCCAAAATTTAGAATTCATTACATCACAATACTCCGAAAAATGTCTGAGTACAAAAGCTTAAGTAAAAATCAATTCAATAAGGCAACACTTTTAAACTTGCCATTTTAAAATTCTGAATACACTATCCCTTTGTTTTGTATGGTCCACAGAGGTTAGAAGAAAGATCACTGCAATTTATAAGAAACTTATCCTCAGAAAGAAACTTGGATATCAGATAACAAAGCCTTAGAAAACATTAAATGAAATGTAGTGCCGGTCAACCTTCATTTTCATATCATATCAAGTGCAGAACAAATGAAAAAAAGTATAATGTGTTCAACATTTTAATTTAGGAAATAAAATTCAGTTAGAAAGCATGAAGTATAGCTACAATAGTTCTGTAAAGAAAAAAATATGAATAATTGAAAACATCTCTCAGGTTTTTTATATAACATTTTAATTGGCCAAGGCACAAAATATGAATTACTAGAGCTAGCCAAATATTTTTGAAAGTGTTAATAAAAAAACAGGAAAAAGAAAATAGTGTAAATATTCTTTTGAGTTTCCCACTCTTGCTCTCACCTCCAACTTTCTTTTACCGTTTTGGAATAGCTCTTAACTTTTATGGAGACTATTTGTACAGGGGCTAGGTACACAGTACCTGCTAAAAATAATCAAATGGGATAAGGAGAGGCTGACACATACAGAGAAATGTAAAGGATCAGAGTCCAAGAGGGCATGAAATGCATTCATGGAGGCAATGAAAACAGAAAGTAAGAGAAAGTGAGAAAATAAAGTGAATACAGCATCCATTAAACTAAGGGACAAACTAAATCTACAAGCAGATCTGTAGATTATTTTCTTTGGTGATTATGAAAGGCGTAGCTCTGACAGCAATTTTCATTCTCCCCTGACTCCAGAATAAGCACTGACAACAGCACATTCCTAGCCAATGTGATTCTATTCTGACCTGCAGGGACCACTTTTAGGGCTGAGAGAAGAATTCAGCTGCTAAACTCTTTCAGTCATGACCGCTCTGTGGAAGCTGTCAACAGTGATGCCAACGGCAAGTTTGATGCAACACTCTAAGAACTAAAATAAGACCACCAACTCATTTCAAATAAAATCCCTGAAAAGGGTTACCAGAAACTGGGTGCAGGAAAAGTTTTCTTTACACAGACTTCTAATAACTTATGTTCTAAGTACATATACTGCAAAATTTCTGATAAAGTGTTAGGCCTCTCATTACGGTGGTTTAAACTGTTTAGCTAAAAGCGGAGTATACATCATGACTAACAAAAATAGTTCACAAGACCCACTGGGATCTTCAGTTTGTGGAATGGAGATATGTTAAAAGTAGTAAGAAACAAATATTGTAAAAATAGGTCTTAAATATATTGACCAGTCACAATAAATGATACGGTATTGAGATGTTAATAAAAATCAGATTCTAGTAATGATAACATTGACAAATACTAGTCTTGGCAAAAAATCATCGTCAAACATACCTATTGACTTTGGAATGGATCTAGCAATGTGTGCTTAAAGACTGGATTGCTGTGACTATTTGATTCACACACCTGTTGGAAATTTGAAGCAAGCTGTCAGTTGTTTCTAAAGAATTTCTGCAGGCTATCCAACAGAATGCATTACATAAGGGAAAAAAAAACCCAACAACTTCTAAAGTTCCAATTAAGCAGAGTCAGTGCCACTGCATTTCTACAAGAAAATAACTAACAAAGGTCCAAATCTGTAAAAAATCAAAGACAAGGACAAAGACAGAAGCAGAATTAAATTATTTTAAGGGCTGTGCAGTGAAATAAGTGACTATTGTTATGTGAGTGCACCATGAAGAACCAAGTAATTAATTTACCATTTTAGACTAACAGGTTAATTTAATATTGTAGTAACATTATTTTGAAAAGTAAGTCATTTTGCCAAAATGCCAAAGAGCTTTCAGCATTAAATGACTTTTTGGGGGAAGGAAGAGGGAAGATGGAAAATAAAGAAGATTAGGGGTCGATTTTGTTATTCCACTGGAGGAAGATAATTTCTCACTCTTCTCAAATAATTTAGGAAGGCATTTGCAAAATACATACTTGTAAGCTTTGCTTGCTATAAATATGAACATATGCTAGTAGCATGACTAATATCTTTTCTTGTTATGGAAGCTTAATAATGGATGTATGACAAGTACATGAATGATTACGCTAGACCTAATTATTTGACAGATGTTCTCAGAAGTCTACTTAAAAAAATTGTAGAAATCTGGGCCATGGTAGAAGTATGCACAGACCTCCTTAATAATCAAGAGCATGCAATCAGTGCTATTACTGTCTTTGCTGTTTTAAAGCAGATACAAGATTTCCCAAATAGAGCATTGTCAGTAAATCTAATGGAATTGCGAAACAAATCGCCAAGACTCCTGGAGGACTTCTTTCCTTTGTGAATACATAGTAAAGCATTTTACTTGCAGATAAAGTTTGTGTTTCTGATTTGGTCCAGCAATACATTAAGGCGGTGTCTATATTGGCACAATCTTGCGCAAAAGCAGCCGCTTTTGTGCCAAAACTTGCTGCCTGTCTACACTGGCCGCGAGTTCTTGCGCAAGAACACTGACGTTCTAATGTATGAAATCAGTGCTTCTTGCACAAGAACTATGATGCTCCCACTCAGGAATAAGCCCTCTTGTGCAAGAGCTCTTCCAGAAGAGTCCAATGTAGACAGCCAACATGAATTTCTTGCGCAAGAAAGCCCTATGGTTAAAATAGCCATCAGAGCTTTCTTGCGCAAGAGAGCATCTACACTGGCATGGATGCTCTTGCGCAAAAGCACATCTCTTGCACAAAAGCACATGCCAGTGTAGACGTAGCCTAAGAACACAGGAAACAGGAAAGATCATTTATAAGTGAAGACGAAGCAACTAGTAAGGCCAGGTGATATGGGCTGGGCCACCATTTCTTGCAACTTCCATTGACCAGGAATGGTGAAGCACAGCCACTGAGAACTGCAAGCGGCTATGCCTGAAGATGCTCAGTTAAAGTGTCTCGTGGTCTGTCAGCAGCTCACCCTTACAAGCTGTAACCCAAAGTTCGAAAATCCCTGCTCTAAGGTATCGCCAAAGGAAGTTGGTCTTCTCCCTGGTATTACTCTGAATTAAAAAAAAGCTTTAAGAAAGTCAGCAAGAAGGGCGCCTTCTTTGAAAAGTATTCAGGGGAATATTTTTCACTGGGCCTGTTGCTTTCACTGGTACCAATTGAACAGTCTCCTTTTCTTGTCCCAGACTCACTGACTAAAGAAGAACTAAAGGGCCCGTTGAAACACTATTGATACAAATCTGGATGGTTAAACTTCACCAGATCACAAAGAGGGTGCATCATCTCCCTCCCCTCTAGAAGGTATGCTCCAATTTCACTGTGCATAGAAAGGATGGCAACTACCTTTCAGCAACCTTAGAGTAAACTATACGCCTGTTTCTCGAGATCCTTGGCTCACCCTCTGGGAGGAAGATTGCCTTGTCAGTCTTAGATGGTTTATTACAGATGCTAAAATTACCTGGTTAAATTCAGCATCTGGACAGGCAGCTTCTAAAAAAGAAAAGTTATACCAGCTGCCTTCTGAGGGCTGATTGTTCTTCTGGGACTCATCCAGCTCCCCATATTTTTGTGTTGGCAACTGCCATTCAGAGATCCAAAGGGGATCATGCCCACTCTAACTTGTTTACCCATTCTGAAGGAGAGGATAGATTTGCTGGATACAAATATGAGCTCATCTCCCACTCTTGGTATTAGTGTGACAATTTGTCTGGACACTACTGCTTGATGGAGAAAATTGCATTGTTTCTCCAGTCACTGATAGAAAACCAGTTGGCCGGTTCAACCAGTTGAAGTTCAGCTTGTTGCGAAGTACACCTTGAGAGCATCCTCTGCTTCCATATGTCATCTAGAACTGTAACCCATATGTTTACTTTTAAGTGCCTTGCCCAGGTGGTGTCAAAAGAACAGACAAAGTTTTAGAGAAACTGAACTGAAACCAAGTCTGCTGTAAAGTCTTTGCGGGACTTTTCATCCCACTATAGAAAAGGTTTTGGGAACATAAATTTTATCAGAAATAAGCATGATCAGCTTCTACTTCTTATTCTTTAAAGAGGAAACAGTACCAGCAGCAGCCCCTTATTTAGTACCCGCATACACCCAAATCCTGCAGACTGTGAGCAAAAGGCACATCTGCTGCATTGTTTTCTCTGGCAAGAACCTCTTGGCCTCAGGGTTGACAGGATGCGCAAGAACCCCAGACCAGTTTTAAACTTAGACCAGGTCTATACTAGACCCAGAAGGTCAATTTAAGGTAATCAACACCAGCTACATAAATAACGTAGCTGGAGTCAAAATACCTTAAGCCGAGCTTGGCGCTGTCTCCAGAGCGGGAGATCAATGGGAGCAAATGGAAGTCAATGAGAGCCTTATCCTTGTGAATTGAGGAGAACCCTCAGTGTTCAACTTAGCAGGTCCCTACTAGACTCTCTAAATCAAACACCAGAAGATCGATTTCTTGTGTCCCACAGCTTCCATTGGCTTGGAACGGTGTACCGCAGCCACATTTGTTTACCTGAGTGTCTACAAAGTGTCTTGCTGCCAGCCAGCAGCTTTACCCTTACAAGCTGTAATCCAAAGTTTGAAAACCCCTACCTTAGAGTATCCAGTAAGACATTTTCTAGAGTAATCCTCTGGTAAGGGAGGATGAGCTTGATGTTTGAAAGGGTGGGACAGTCAGTCTCCATAATGCTCTTCAAATTATCTGACCCTCTTCCTTGGAGGAGAAGAGCAAGGAAATGCACCAGGCTGGTCATGGTCCAAGTGAAAAGCCAGAAGGGGTAAGACCAGAATCTGAAGGATTCCTGGGGTAGGGAGAAGAGATAAGTGTATCTCCAGCAAGACTACATAGTTAGGGA